TAGTACAGTACTGTAGTGTACCGATCGGTGTGCTTTTGAAAAGTCACCCTAACCACTCTCACTACTTGACTTTTTCGACAGGCTTTTTGGCCAAAATTTGCTGTCTTTTCGACAGGCTTTTTGTCCATATGACTCCCTCCACCTTTTGTGCTGACAGCTGTGAATCGCCAAATCTACTGTCGATACGATTAATACTGAATTTTGTACTCAACACAATATGAATGAATCCCAGCATACAGTTCAAAAGTAGAAATCTTCCGCTGACGCAATGGCTTTTCGTGCTTCAATATCGCGAATCCTGCGGTGCTATTCAGATGCTGCTCCATAATGGTTATTCATCAAATTAACGATGTTTACCACACACACTACACGAGCGAGTTTGACCTTCCATAACCAAGTCGGTTGTGAGTACAACCAAGTGGAGTGGGTTGGATGTTGGCCATGTCGCTTTCATCATGGCACGCAAATTTGACTTACTTCGGCAAGTACGGTTCAATGAAGGTACGAGCAGCGCTGGCGCGTTCATAGAGACCTGGAATGCCGAGCTCACCACACTCAAATCCCGAGCTTACCACCCCCACCAAGTGCACGGTACCGTTTTTTTCGATCGTCAACGGTCCCCCTGAGTCGCCGGTACACGAGTCTTCCCCTTCCACCCCTCCAGCAGTCAAGATCGTATCGGACACTCGATAGGGGAACAACACAGCAGAGGCCCTGGTGTTGCTCCAGGTCGTGAGGCTGAGCTCCTTGAGCACTTGCGATTGGGGGCCATCAGGGTTGACGTTTCCCCAGCCGCGTACCCAAGTGAGCACGTTCGCCGGAACGAATTCAAACGACACCGCCACAGGTTGGATGCTCGTGATGTTGTGGTCCAATATTGCGATACCCACGTCGGTGCCACTGGGTTCTTTGATTTCCTTGATGATAGCGGCATATTCCCCGGCGCCAAAACCGCTTATATAGTGCGTGCCCACGACCACAGAACGTCGTTTACCATTCAAACAATGGCGCCGCTGTCAAAATGACATTGGGGGCGATCAGACTGCCGCCGCACTCGGTGTTACTACTGGGCCATCTCTTGAGCCCAGCCACATAACGGTGATGGCCGAATTGGGCTTCCTGCCCCCCGAGGATTTCGAAACCGTCGTCAGGGACCTCATCGCCCCAAGCGACTTTGGCTGGGACAACTTGGTCTTGAGCCAAGGCAGCGACGGCCGCGGTGAAAACGAAAAGGAGTGCGAACTTCATGATGGATATTGGGAAATGAATGGTCTTTCATCTTGAGCCAAGCCAATCCAATCGTCAACTTCAGACTGTGATTGCACTACCGGTAGCACACCAAGTACCAAGGTTAAACGAATGGATTCACGCACCTCTTCTCCATCTTTGGCGTCATAAATATCCAACAGCGTGGCCGACATTCTTGCCAGAAAAACCAGCTACCAGTAAGTATACCGCACGTTCAAAGGATCCACATTGAAGTACATGTACAGTACATGTAACACTTGCAATACTGTACAGATACACTGCGCGACATACGGTGGTACTAAGGTATGCGCATACGCTTGCCTACTTCGTGGTTGTTGGTGGTCGAGGTTTTCAGGCAGTCAAAGCGTAATCGTCAGTAACGTTACGACTTTTTCGGCGGCAAGTGCAGAATCCACACGAGCCCACTGAGTGTTGGAAGATCCGAACTGGGGGAGAAGGCGAAGGTTGCACGGGGATATGTACCGTGTACATAGTGTACCCATATCTGTGGTGATGACTGCGTGAACATGATTTCTGAGCAAAAACAGTCATAGGAGCGACTGGGTGACCATGTAACCACGAAGGAGACAAGCGTATGCGGATAGTACGATCGTATGTCGCGCAGTATATCAATCCACCGTACTGCAAGTGTTACTTCAATGTGGATCGTGCAGCGGGATTTATATGCGGGAAGTGGACGAAAACTCATCATAACATGAAGTTTTGGTGCACATCATCTAAAAACTTCCAACTGGCCAAATCGAAGAGTAGGATTTTTATTATTTAACGTACAATTGATGTCGTTAAACTCAAAAAATCATGCGTTTTATCACTGCAGTGGGAAGTCCCAACAGCCTCCGGATATTATATACGGATAAGAGTCACGTACAAAAATCAAAATACATCTCAGAGGCACCGTTATGGCCAAATATTCAAGCGCCCATGTAAAATACCGCTAGGTTATTAAATATCTATTTCTGGACCAATTCATCACCAAATTTGAATGTGAGACGTAGAATTTCTTCACCACAATGAGATCTCTCGATTCTATGTCTCAATTTCCTGAAATTTTGAGTAATGAATATGAAATAGAAGTCAGAAATTTTTGTGAAAAGTTGATATTTATAGATGACATACACCATATGTAATGTCAAAATCGAGGCATTTCTGGATGGCGAAAGCAAAATTTGGAGTTTCTTCGGAGTCATCCAACTTGTCGGAAAGGGACTTCGGCTAATGTACTGATACGCCTCCTATCGCTCTGCAAATGCCGTGCTTGCATATTATCATGCGCCGTTTCACATTGAAAACTGAGCAGTTCCGGATATTTCATTACTTTTGCGGATGCAATACTTTTATTGCACAGCGCATTTTTTTTGTCATGTGGACATGCGCATATATCGAAGTGGACGAACTTCGATATCACTTTTCTCGAACTACGTAGTACATACAGCAATACATACTACTGAATCACTAGTACACCTATTGTCTTATACTAGTACTCCGGAGTAGCAGTAGTACTGATAGTACTGAATCAGTAGTACTATGTAGTACATACTTCGAAGTACTAGTATTATCTTATACTAGTAGTATCAGTAGTACACTGATACTAACTCAGCCTATGGTAGCATGGTACATCTCTCTCTGGCATGAGGCATCTTACCCGCATGTGCCCATTTGTTCTTGAAATACGACGAATTTGGTAACTGGAAGTTGGGCGTTGTCGTTCTCTACAGCTGTTGATTCACAGCCAGGCAAAATGCAAAGCACAATACTATCAGAAGACCATATTGCATTTTGCCTGGCTGTGAATCAACAGCTGTAGAGAAAGAGAACGCCCAACTTCCAGTTCCCAAATTCGTTGTATTTCAAGAACAAACGGGCACATGCGGGTAAGATTCCTCATGCCAGAGAGAGCTGTGCATGCGTAGACCATGCTACATAGGCTGAGTTGGTAATGGGCAATCTTGTTCTAGTAGTATCAGTAGTATTGCTGTAAGTATTACGTAGTATTACACAGCTCGAGAAAAGCATCATCAAGTTCGTCCATTAACGTTATCGATGTAAGGTATGCGCATGTCGACATGTCGTCCAAGTACCACACAAACAAGCACATGCGCAATAAAAATATTGCATCCGCAAAAGTATTGAAATATCCGGAACTGTTCAGTTTTCAAAGTGAAACGGAGCGAATTTCTGAATGTAAGCACTGCATTGCAGTGAGCGATATAAAGTGTGTCAGTTCAGCAGCCAATGGCCCTCTCCAACAAGTTAGTTGACTGCGAAGAAACTCCAGATATTGCCCTCGCCAACCACGAATGCCTTGATTTTGGCCTTCCATTACTTCGTCTTATGATGAGGTTTCGCCAGTTCCCGCACCTCCCAGTATGCATTGAGAAATCGGTGACCTGCGTCGCGCCTTTCCCGCATGTGCGCATGCGTAATCTGCAAGATGTATAAATCGTTTTGAAAAACGTAAATAATTCTGGGGCTGAATAAAAATACACATACATCCTACAAATACCAACATAAAGATGTTCAATCGAATATATTATGTAACTGTCGCGAGTACGTACACCGCTGTTTTGACTCCGTGGAAGTGGCAGATTCAGTTCCTGGTTGACTCGCATGTGACAACTTGAATAAAGATGCATGCATCCATCATGATTTAAAGGAATCAAGGACCTTTAATTCTTCATAGCAATGTGATTGTCCTGTTCCCGCTTCTCCCTGGCAAGAATGTCGACCACGCTGTAGGATATTTATGGCGCCAAAGATGATTTATGTGTATGGGCACAGGTCCGTGACAACTTGGTTCCGTGCCACGATACGTGATTGGTAGGAAACAATCACTCTGAAATTTTCAACTAATAGAGACCTTTAGCAAACTCGAAATTTGACCAAATTCCTGAAATCTACTTCTTTTGATTCTGACAATGTAAATTTGGTTCGTAAACGTGAAATTCTACCTTTAGCAAAGTCGGAGCTTCAAATTTCCGCATGACATGCATTGCAACAATTACTACTAACCCGTTAGGGGGAGTCAATATAGGATTTTCGTCAAAAAGTTGCTTTTCGTTATGAAAATCAAACGCAACTTGAAGTTGGTAGAGACCAGGTATGGAACCACCCAATCATACAATTGCACTCAAAAGTATACAATTCCTAGTACAAACACGAAATGGTAGCCCCGGTCTCCATTTTGCTCCAGAGAGCGAAAGAAGAGGAACCCAGCCATCGTATAGAAAAGCATGTAGCGTGAGCTTAGGAGCATGTAGAGTAGTTGTAGATGCCCACCTAACTAGCCCTTCGCAGCATTTCACTAACGTGCAGCGCGGGTAGCAATCGCTGTGGCCTAGCTGAACGTCACGATTCGACGGACTCGAGCCGTGGAGTCCACATTACTCCGAGTACTGTACTGACATATCAGAAAACATTTCGGATTCTAAATTGACTCCATGTGCTTTTCGAGCAAGCGAATTACTTCGAAGTAAAATACAAAAGAATATTAACTTGAGTTTCAAAATCCACGAAAAGCAAAAAATTCCTATATTGATTCCCCCTTATACTAGTACATACAGTTTTAATATCGTCGTTGATGTGCTGCTGATTCCACTTGATTTTTAGATACCCCAAGCAAACACCGTTGTGACTCGACTGTCTCGAGGTCAGGGATGGCACGTTTGGTTTTTCCCTTTGGTTTTTTAGAAAAACCACTATTTTTCAAAAGGTTTTTTAAATTATGGTTAAATTATTCTAAACTCATGTACATGCAAGTAAATTGCATAACGTTACTGTAATACGGTTTTTACACGACCAGCATCCAGTTATAAGGCTTGGTGCCCGACGAGCGTCGGGCAAATTCCGTTTCCATCGAGAAACTATGAACCCCTAAATACAAATATCAAGATATTTGAATTTAACGTGATATACATCGAATTTGCCCGACGCACGTTAGGCTGTAAGCTAAGCATTTTTATTGGCTATAATGTGCAAAAGGTGATGTCGATTTGATACAAATTTGGGGGGAGGGGTTTTTTGAGGAGAAATATCTTGAAATCTGTATGCAATAATAAAATTAATATGGTTTCCTTGCAATAATTTGACGAATATTTTAGAAAAAGTTGGCCATTTTACAGCAATAGGCTGCCGATCATCGAATTGGTTAATTCCAAAACATATATGCACAATTTGCAAAGAGACTTCACACCAAGCCAACACCATCCGTTATTCCTTCTCCTGTTCTTAGTCTGTGCCTACCGGTTTGACTTCATTGCGCGCAATTCAACGAGAGACACATAAGGGCGTATAGAATGTGGATTTGTGTATCATGTGCGACGTTATGAAACGAAAGTCATCGAACGCTTTGGACTGTAGGGACTCGGACTAGCTCAGCGGTCCTAATGCCCGCTGCTTTCGAAGTTTGAGGATCTTGAGTCAAGATTCTCCCTCTGTTTGGCCGTCAAGTATCGTGGCGACCAAACATAGGTTTACGTAGTCAGGACCGAGCTCGCCGCCCGTCGTCCATGCCTTGGCATAGGGTGATCAGGCGGCAATCATCGGAGGCTTGGTGCGCGGCGGCGGGGAGTATACTGGGATGTACTGC